AATTTGAAATTAACTTAAAACTTCAGGAACATATGCTGGAAAGACTCTGAATTTTAAGAGACTAGGGAGCAAATAATTTCCCCAGTCCTACAAGAGGCTTTGTGAAGGTGGTAGACTCTAAAAAGAGCAAGGATAGTGATATATCTATTTGGCGATTTTTTTCTTCCTTCCATCCCACTCTACTTCTGTGAGCCATCTGTGGTAGATTAGATTATTATTCAGCAAATATGCACTCCCTCCCCAGGCATCCCTGAGAGAGAAATATACTCCACTCCAGTGATGTTGGGCTTGGTTCTGAGACTTCTTTGGCTTCAAGGTGGGTGCAGTCTACTAGCCATCCCATGCCTTTTGGCATAATCATCTGACTTGCTTTGATCAAAGGGATCTTAGCAGATTTAGCACAAGCAGACACCTGAACTGTGCTTCTGCAGTTGGACTTACCTTCTTTTACTTCTGCTGTCGCCTTGAGAAGAGCTTACCATAGGCAGTCACTGCCCCTTCAGCCTGGGCCCCAGAATAAAACATGCAAAACAGAACTGCCCTAGCTGATCCATGGTCCTACACCTTGAAGCAAAGCCTTGAGTCAGAACAAATATTCTAAGGCTGGGTTTGGGGGAGGTCTGTTACGTGGAGTTACTGTAGTTGTTTTTAAACAATAATGGTTACATGGGCTCAGAAGATGCAATGAAAATGAAGACTTACAAATCCAGAATCCCTTATCTGAAACCCTTAGGACTAAGTGTGTTTAGAATTCATATTTTTCTTAGATTTTATAAAGGTAATATGATGCAAATACTGTATGTTTTAAAATGCCCTCTCAAAGTCATAGATAGAATCACAAAATCAAACACATTAATAAGTATATAGTGAAACATATAGTCTAAAATTACATTAATAGGTTCAGGTTAGATTTTTCTGTCAAATGAATTACAAAATGCCTTTCGGTTTTTTCAGGGGCTTTTGGATTTCATAATTATAGATATGGGACTATGGTCCTGTATTATCAGTATTTGTAGTAATTATAAAGAATCTTTCCCCAAGAAACCTACTTTCAGTAAGTCTACATGAAAGGTATGATCACACCCAGTTTGTTTCAAATTCACCATGGAAATGGACTGAATACATCTTTAATGAAAACATGACTACTCACATCTAATTAATTTATAAATCATTGGTTATACTCAGCAATGCTTGCATTCTCTTTTGCTTTAGATCAATTTAAGGAACTATTCAAGGCATTATGAAAACCAAACATTAATATTCTTTAATCAATCAACACTTACTGGGTTTCTTCTATAAAACCAGACATTGTAATAGGTGCTGGGGATGCTACTAGCAGATAATACTTCTGTTTACTCAAGACGCTTACTATCTAGAAGAGGAGTCAGGCAAGTATATATTTATATTAATTTCATGTAAAAATGAAAGTATTTTAGGGTGCCTGGGTGGCTCAGATGGTTAAGCGTCTGCCTTTGGCTCAGGTCATGATACCAGGGTCCTGGGATCGAGTCCTGCGTCGGGCTCCCTGCTCAGCGGGGAGCCTGCCTCTCCCTCTGCCTCTCTCTCTCTCTCTGTCTCTCATGAATAAATAAATAAAATCTTATTAAAAAAGAAATAAAAATATTTTAGATGGGGCACCTGGGTGGCTCAGTGAGTTAAGCATCTGCCTTTGGCTCAGATCATGATCCCGGGGTCCTGGGATCGAGCCCTGCACAGGGCTGCCTGCTCAGTGGGGGGTCTGCTTCTCCCTCTCACTCTCCCTCTGTGTGCTCGCTCTCACTCTCTCAAATAAATAAAAACTTTTTTAAAAAATGTAAAAAAATATATTTTAGATGTAGGGAGCCTGGGTGGCTCAGTCAGTTGAGCTCTGGACTCTGATTTCAGCTGTCATGATCTCGGGACTGTGGGATTGTGCCCTGCAACTGGGCTCCACACTTGGTGAGGAGTCTGCATATCCTTCTCTCTCTGCTCCTCCCCTTGCCCATGTGCTTTCACTCTAGCTCTCTCAAATAAATAAATAAATCGTTAAAAAAAGTTTTAGATGTATTGGGTTACATAAATTATATTATTCAAATTAATTTTATCTATTTCCTACCTTTATAAAACTTGTTTATTAAAAAGTTTTAAATTAACACTTGTAGCTCACAGTTTTTTTTTTCTTTTAAGATTTTATTTATTTGTGAGAGAGAGAAAGCAAGTGCGAGTGCACAAGCAGAGGGAGTGGCAGGCTGGCTCCCCGCTGAGCAAGGAGCTGGACTTGGGGCTTGATCCCAGGACCCTATGATCATGACCTGGGCCCCAGGCAGATGCTCAACCGAATGAGCCTTCCAGGCATCCCACTCACACAGTTTCTATCAGATAGCACTGCTCTAAACCTTAAGCTCTTTCAGCTATACCAGCCCAGATACTAAAAATCCCTGACAGCCTTTTCCTTCCCAAAGCTTCCCTTCCTTCCTTAGCCTTTGTGACACTGTACTATGGACGTTCTCCTCCCATCACTCATTCTCTTCTTAGCTGGTTCCTCTCACCCTTTTTCCATTCCTTCATTATAAGTGGCCTGCCTGGGCCTCTTTGTCCCCTTCCTTTCCTTAGGCATCTCCTCCACTGCTCCAACATCAACTAGTAAGTCTATTTAAATGACTCTCATATTTACAGTTCCAGGTCTGTCCCTGAGACATCTTCACTTGCTGGCATTTCAAAAGTGATAACTTCCAAACCATTTCATCTTCCTCTCTAGACTAGTTCTTTGCTTCTAACTTCCTTATTTCTGCAATCGTCTCTCCCGTTCTTCAAACTTAAAGCCTTCTAGCCAACTCTACACTTTATTCCGTTTTTCAATTAGCTGCCATGTACTGTTCATGGTTTTTCTTTTTTTTTTTAAGATTTTATTTATTTGGGAGAGAGAACGAGCACAAGCGGGGGAGGGAGGCCTTAGGAAGACAGAGAAGCAGACTCCCCACTAAGCAGGAAGCCAGTCGCAGGGCTCAATCCCAGAACCCTGGGATCATGACCTGAGCTGAAGGCAGACGCTTAACCAACTGAGCCACCCAGGCACCACAATAGTTTCTTCTAAGCCTCTGTCATCACCAAAGATCAAACTCTCATCATATCTCACCTGAATTATGCAAAAGTCACCTCAATTCTCTCATCCATTCTAGCCCCCACTATCAAAGTAATGTGCCTAAAATTCTGACCATAACAGTGCCACTCTTAACACACTTCCAAATCTGCCTAACATCTATCACATGAAGAAGAGGCAGTATTAGAGTTCGACAGGTTCTTCAGAATATATCGTAAAAAAGTCTCCCCTATAACCTGCAATATTAGTGGGAAAGGAGGAGCAGAGAGAGCCTGGATCTGAGAGAGAAAGAGGACCACATAAACTATGGTAATAGACAAATGCTGTATTTTCCTGCTAGGGTGGTTCTGAGAGATCAACTTCAAATCCTCCGGTTCCCCCTAAATGGAAATTCATGTAGCAGTCTAGGACTAGTTGCAGCCAGTAACTTAAAATTCAGCAATAAATCATATCGATTCAGAAGAAAGTATACCCAGAACTGTGGGAACTGTCTGCCCAAAGACCAGGAGTAGAAGAATGGAAAACCAGATGATAGATGCCACTTCTATTATCCATTGGGGGGTGGGGGCAGGAAGGAATCCATGCACTCAATAAATATGATCCTTTTCTCAGTGTTAAGGGTTTATTAGATGGCAGTGGGGGGAACCTTAAGTTGGCTGAACTCTGCAAATGAATTAAGGAGAACTGAAATAGGCTTTTGCAGGTGACTGAAATTAGTCAAATGCAACTAGCTCCAATCTACTTTCCTGTTTTATTTTCCTTCATAACAGTTATTTTAATGTTCAGAGTGGGTCACTGGTCGCTTGCAATCCAGAGAGCCCATGTTTGTAATACACCTTCTGATTATGATGCCCTACCCACTTCAACGCCAGGGGTGAAAACCTTTCCACTGTAAAAGATAACTCAAGGGCGCCTGGGTGGTTGTCTTTTAAGTGTCTGCCTTCGGCCCAGGTCATGATCCCGGGGTCCTGGGATCGAGCCCCGCATCGAGCTCCCTGCTCAGAGGGAAGCCTGCTTCTCCCTCTCCCACTCCCCCTGCTTGTGTTCCCTCTTTCGCTGTCTGTCAAATAAATAAAAGCTTAAAAAAAAACCCAAAAAACTCAACTAACAAGATTCCCTAACCAGATGTGATCTCTACCTGCCTCAAACTTCAGAGAAGGTACGAGCTTTACAATGTGCTCTGTCATAGTCATTATATATGCCATAGTTTTTTGCATCCTATTCTTATCTCCCAGAGTAAACCCTGAATACTATATTCATCTTGTCCAAAGCAGCCAAGCAATGCTTTTTAAAATTATTAAATTAGTCTCCTACAATAGAAGCAGATTATTTATTTGAAAAGAACCTGAGCGGGAAGAAAACACAAATACCTAAGACACATGCAAAGCACTGAACATCATGCCTCGCGACAGTCCCAACCAAGGCAAAAGCATCAGACCCTGTTTTCCGCCTCGAACGTGAGACATAAGGAACTTAGCCCTGAGTGCCACTCACTTCCCCGGACAAGGACACACTCAGGGCATGAGGCGCGGAGTTTCACCAGTTGCTCAACCAGACACAGGGCAAGGCGCTTCCTCTTTCTCCAGGAGCTCCACTCCAGTCAAGACGGTCAATCCCGGCCCACGGCACCTGCGTCCTGAAACGTCTTCGGGAAACCAGCACTTCCGGACCTAGGCTCCGGAGGCGAATCGCTCTTTAACCTGACCGCGCGCTGCGCCTGGAGCCGAAGAAACGGGCCGCCCCTCCTTGTTCCCCACACGGGGTTCCTCGGTCTCTGCTCAGCCGCGCCCCGCTCCTCATCCTCGAGGACACCGGCTGCGCGGCCCGGGCGGCGACAAAGGGCCGGGCCCTGCCCGCGACCGCCCGTGTCCGCACCGGGTGAGGGGCGCCTTCCCCTCTCCCCGAACTACCCATCACGCACCTACTCTTCCCTTGCCGCCGCCGCCACCCGCCGCTCGCAGAGCAAGCTCCTTCCCGAGCAGCCGCTGTTTTGTTTCCGATGTGAAATCGCAGCCTCTGGAGCAGCCGGTCCAGGCCCCGCCCAAAAGGCTTCGCTGATGTCGTCATTTCCTGCTCTGGCGTCGTTGGCGGTCGGCCAGGGGAGGGGCGGGACCCACCGGCAGAGGGGGCGGAACCCAGGGGGAAAAGGTGGAGCTTCCGGTGGAGCGCGCGGATAGAGGGGCAAACACTGCGCTCCCGGCGACTCCGGGACTTAGACGAACTCGCCCAGACAGCTAGTGTGAGTCTGAGACTGTCCGGGATTCGAGACTGCTCTTCAGCTGAGGACCAAAGTTTCTACGTCAACTGGGCCCAGCGTGTGCTTCTTCCGGCCTGCAAGTGAGGACATCTTATCTAACATTTATCTATTAGTACCTATTTGTAATGTTTCTCAATGCGAATCATCTGCACGCATTGAGACAGTCATGAAGGCTAATTAAATTTTAATTACCTGTGCCCTTCACACCCTACCCAATGAATCAAAAGTTCTGGTGGGGGCGGGAACCTGAGAAACTGCATTTTAAACAAACATAGCCCGGGATTCTTAGGCTCTGAGTTTAAGATCGAGTCTTAGATGATAAACTTCCAAAGAGCATAAAATGTATCTTATTTTTGAAATCCCAAAACCAGAGTACAAAATTGCTCAGCAATCAATTTCCGCATCTGCCAGCTTTCCGTCCAAATTGCGGAAGACAGTACCAGTAACAAAAGTAGCATAGCACACTCATCTGAAAGCTAAAAGTAAACAACGAATACAATAACGTAAAACCAAGGATGAAGAATGGAGAAATGCTCCAATTCACAGGTAATAGAAAACTGGCAATGAAATCGATGATGCATGCATCTGGCCAAATGATATCTTCTATTTCTTTTAAATTCCTCCCCCAAGATAGCTTTTCATATTCCTGCAGCATCAGTCCCCAATCCCCTCTCCCCGCCCAATACATGAACAGATTTAAATAGGTTTTACACACTTCATATTTAAGAACATCAGTAGTTTTTTCCATTAACAGGGAAAAGTTAAGTTGGGGAATAAAAATGTTGACAGCCCCAAAGATACTTTTTAAAGTTCTCATTTCCCCTTCCCTCCTTAAATTTCACAAGGGTAAACATTTTTTTCCTATTTGTTCACTTCATACTACAAGTGCTGAGAACAGTGCCTAGCACATAACAGTTCAATACATTTGACAAAGCAGCATAGCTAAACCCCATCTATCTGTGAACTGGTTCAATCTTTTTTAATGCAATCTGGTAACAGGAGTAGAAAGTCTTAGCTGGTCAACTATTTTTAGACACAATCTCAATACAAAATACTTGTGCAAAAATGTTCCCAAAGTATTTATAGCAAAAATTGGAAAGCTAAACATCCCACAATAAATGATCGTTCATCCACTTCACAGAATGTCATTAGAATTGTTTATGAAGGTTGTGTTTAACATTCTTATTCTATTAAGTTAAAAAGACCTAAGATTTATGCATATATGAAGGTTGTGTTTAACATTCTTTTCTATTAAGTTAAAAAGACCTAAGATTTATGCATATGTATAAATACAACTATGTCAAAACAATTCCTGCAAGAAGTAAAAAGGTGATAAAAAAGTGATAAAAAAGCAACCAGTGACTTTAAGTAACCGGACTACATACAGATAACTTTTCCACCAGTTTCTATTTCATCTTCTTAGAAATACAAACACCTTTGGGGCATCTGTGGAGCATGCAACTCTTGATCTCCGGGTCATGAGTTTGAGCCCCACGCTGGGTGTAGAGATTACTTAAATAAATCTTTTTTTTTTTTAAGATTTTATTTATTTTAGAGGGGTGGAGGAGCTGAGGGAATCTCAAGCAGAAATTGGAGCAGAGTCCAAAGCGGGGATTGATCTCAGAACCATGAGATCATGACCTGAACCAAAATCATGAGTTAGTTGCTTAACCGACTGAGCCACCCAGGCACCCCATAAATAAATCTTAAAAAAAATTTTTTTTAATTTTTAATTAAAATACAAATACCTAGGATTTGCTGAGGAAGAGCCAGCAAAGACATAGGGTAGGACAGGGCAGAAGTAATATCCTAGACACCAAACAGCAGATGTCCATGGTGTTAAGAGATAGGGTAGAGCCTCTCACAAGGTCACAGAGTCTCCGTTAGGCCATCACCAGTCATCAGTGGAATGATGATACAAACATTTGAGACTAGAGGCATTTGGAAGGCACATGTAACTATAAGCTACTCTTTGTGGAATCTCAATAGTGTAGTAGAAAGGAGATACGATCCAAGGTTAAGTTTTTGTGTTCTTTAACACTTAGTCCAGACTGAAGAATGAAGATAAGGAAATACTTCAGCAAGGATCAAGAAACTGCAAGTTAGAAACCAGAGCCAGTGGAGTGGGGGAGGTTTTCTAGATAGGATGGATGGAGTTATCATTAACTATAGAAAGCAAAGGTTTAAGATGCATGTCATTATTAACTGGAAAGCTAGAACTGGAGAATATGCCTAATGACATTTTTAAAGTTAAGGTTTTGTTAAATTTGAGACTTACTTGCTGAGGGGGGGATATCAAAGGACTTTTACTCATTCAGCGAATATTTTTTTCACAACTACTATACAGCCGTGTAGGATCAAAAACAAGAAAAGCTGGAATGCGTGTGGAAAGGAGCTGGAGTTCAGTAAAACAATTGAGATATATAGCACTGAAGGTCCAAAATATCTGCAGTGGTGCATTTATATTTTCCCAAAAGTGTTTGGTACTTGGGAGCAGGAATGGAGAAACAAAACAAAATAAATGGTGGCAAAAACCAATAATAAGTGGTGAAAGATGAAGCAGATGGGAAATCCAGAGTGCCAGACCTGTTAGAACCACTTGGGGGAGAGAGGCTGTCAGAGACTAAGGCCAGCGCAGTTACTGGTCACTAAGTATGTGAAGTCAAGACCTGGTCAATCAGGGAACGAAGGCCAGTTATTTACACCATTGATTCCAAGGCAATGCAACTCAACACTTCTCCCGTAAAAGCAGTTTGCCTTTCTTTTTCTTTTTTTAATTAAACTCTACGCTCAACGTGGGGCTTGAACTCACAACCCCCTGAGACCAAGAGTCACAGGCTCAATCAACTGAGCCAGCCAGGTGCCCCTGCCTTTATTTTATACACAATGTCACTGCCCTGTTTCTTATGGGAATAAAGAATTGAAATATGACAATATTGTCATCAGAGCTTGGTGCTTGGCCACTATCTTAACAGCTCTCACATCGTTCTTATTCTTTGCTAGGATTATCTCTTTAGACTTGGACCTGATTAAGATAAAGCATTAGTTATCTTGTATTTTTAGCCTTCAGTTCTGTGTTTGTCAGTATTTTATTAAATTCTAATTTCCTCCTTAATCAAGAATTTCGGCCCCCCCTTTTTAAAAAATGTGCCTCAATAAAATACTTAAAAATGAAACTTTTATAGCTTTTTCACCTATAGTAACAATCCAATTCTTCAGTAGGGTGTATTTACTACTATTTTTTAATTGACAGGAAAGAAATGAACCTTCAGAGTTTTTGGATCCTACAATGTAAAGTGTTCACTAGTTTTTCCTTTTGTTATATAAAAAAAAAACAGGAAAAATAGTTCTTTAGCACTATTTTTAAATTCACACCTAATAATTTTTGCTTCAATAAAGATTTATAAAAATGCTTCCTGTGGACTAATTTTATTAACAAGCATTTCCCTCTCCCCTTGGATTGATAGCAACATCTAGACCAGACCTGTCCAATATAGCTTTCTGAAACCATGTTTGTTTGTTTTTAAGATTTTTAAGTAATCTCTATACCCAACGTGGGACTTGAATTTACAACCCTGAGATCGAGTTGCATGTTCTACCGACTGAGCCAGCCAGGTGCCCCAATCGCAATGATATTCTATAATCTGCAATGTCCATATAGTTTTGCTAGCCACTGGCTATATATATGGCTATAGAGCACTTGACCTATATTGTAACAAAAAACTGGATTTTTTTAGTCACATGACTTTCAAACACTTGAAATACACTAGTGTGATTAAAGAACTGAGTTTCAAAATTAACAAATTTAAAACCTTAGGTAGCACAGATCCGGACCATGAATTAGAATGCTATATATAGGCCTCCAGACACCAATCTGTCATCTGTTTTGGGTAAACTATGTGACCTCTAAGTTCCCTTCTACATATTACTACCCCTGTTTAGAATCTTCCTACTGTCCTTTCCCTCTTGACTGTGAAGTTAGCTCATCAAGTTTGATAGTTGGTACAGTACTTTATGTCTATTAGTATTCCTCTCATTCTTTCTCCACCATCATTAGACGGTCAGCTACTAGAGAAATCTTATGTCTATCACTCTACCTACCATTTAACATGAATGCTACATATTAACTGTGCTTTTAGCCACATATTAACTGTGCTTCAATGGCTAAATATAAATTATACACAAAAAAACAAGGAATACCTGTTAACAATTCAGCTACCACTCTGGGCATGAGAAACTAGGTCATAAATCCAACTACTATGGGATGTGGCACAGTAGGCATACTTGGGAGTGTCATTTAATGAAACCAACATGGCTTGAAAAGAATTTTTACTTTTGCTTATAGAAATTATCTTTCATTCCTGGGCATTTTAGATTGCTATTCCTAATGTGGCCTTCATATGAGACAAGTGATAAAATCAAAGGCTAAAATTCTGTCAAATAAAGATGAAAATGTAATAAGCATTCATGTAAATAAATTATTTCAATAATTCAACACAATCACATTTCAAAAAATCTACCATTTATCAAAAAAAATTATAAGCTTACTTTGGTCTATGGTATGAATGTTACAGTAATAGTTCCTGGGTTTGAAATATATATATATTAATTTCCCAGTTTTCTTCCTGACACCTAGACTGACTGTTTCTTTGCCTATTTGGATTCTTTCTCATACCCTTTATATCCAGAGCATTCAGAAATCAATTTCACCATCTTTTGCTGAGCTAAATACTATTCTCAATTTCGGATTGTTAAAAGGCAGCTGAAATATAACCCGAAAATATCCGTAACC